ATGCAAATTTTGAGTTCAGAATTTAATTTTTTTTTTACATAATAATTTTTCTTTAATTAAATAATAAAATTATAAGCGATGTATTTAAAAGTTATTATTTAACATTTATTGTTTAATAATTTTTTTTAATTAAATAATAAAATTATAAGCGATGTATTTAAAAGCTATTACTTAATATTTATTGTTTAATAATGTTAGCTCAAGTTTTCGATTGCAATAATATATTTATAGACTAATACTTTATTGAAAAAAGTTTATAATAATAATAGTACTATAACTATTAGTATTTCAAAATGCAAAATTGTTCTTTATAGCTTTAACGAAATCAAGTTTGTTAAAATTTACATATCATTATATTGATCACTAGTAGATTAATAGTTATATATATTTTTAAAAACAATCATTTTTGATTAATAAAAATATTTATTTATAATTTAATATTTTACTTACTTTATTTAATCACTTTCGTTACCACTTAATATTAGTTCATCATCCGTTTCTTGGTTATATTCATCATTCTCTTCAATTTCTTTGCTGCTATCAGTTTCGGAATCATTTTTTGCTACCATATACTCTTTATAATCAATATCAATATTTTCACATTGCCCCATAATTAATGTTGAATCTTGATTTGAAATTTGGTTGAATAAACGATAGTTTGCATAAATATATACAAGTTTCAAAACATGATCAGGAGTAAGTCAATTTCTTTTTCGATCATGAATATTTGCAAAAATTGACCAATTGCGTTCTGATGATGCAGAAGAAGTAGGAATATTTAAAATTCGAATTGCTACCTGACATAAATCATATGCAGTAGCACTATAATTTCCTTTTCACCATGTTGTTGAAGTAAGTTCTAATAATGAATTCCATATTAAACTATTATTAAAGATTCCATCTTTGGTTTTATATTGCATTAATTGACTCCAAATAAGAGTTGAATTAGATGGATAATATTTTGAAATAAAATTTGAGATTGTAAAAATACTAGATGGTGGTAACTTTCGTCCAATAAGCTGTGGATCAAGAAAATACGCTACTTCCATTACAGAATGGTATAATTTTTTCCAACGCCTATTTAATATTATCTTAAGATCAGAATATGCGGTAGAATTGTAGATATCTTTTTTTAAAAAAAAATTAGTTTTTTTTATAAATATATATGCGTATATTAAATTTTATTTATAGTACTTACGTTCTGAATTTAATAAATTATGAAACCATTCCCAAAATTTAGATAGTCTTGGTTTATCACTTTCAAATATTGTAATACCATTAACCAAATAATTTAATATATTTGCAAGATAATTAGCTTGGTTCCAGAAATTTTCGTCATTAATAATCAATGCTAAATTTGTATCAATTCGGCAAGTTTGATGTTATGTAAGTTCTACTACACTTAACTTAAGTGCAAGCTGATTAGATATCACTGAATTTAAACAGGCAGCTTGTAATCCCCAACGAGTTTTTACTGGAGTTTTTAAAGTAATTTTTTTGTTTTTATATTGCACTAATTGATGTCGTTTAAGTATAGCATTGGCAATATAATGTTGATGAAAAAATTTAACTATATTTTTGGCATTGGTAATAATATCATGAGCCCACTTAAGCTTCACGATATCACCAACTAATAAATTTAGTTGATGCGCCAAACAACCCATATAAATTACTAAAGGATAATATTTTTCTAAAACTTTCCAAGCTCCTTTCATTACTGAAGCATTGTCAGTAATTATAGCAGAAATTTTTTTGTCATCAATAGTTTTTATTAAATCCAATATATCAGATGCAACATTTTGAGAATTTTGTTGGACTTCTCCTGTTGGTTTAGCTAAGATAAATACAGGTTTAGGTGTCGCTAGAATAAAGTTTGTCCAATGATCGTGAACAATACTTGACCTATTATCATATATAAATAAAATTTGTAAGTATATATATCGATATATATGTTAAATTTTTAAAATATTTTTAATTTACCATCCATCTGTAATAATTGTTAAAAAATCCGCTTCATTAATATACTGATCAACTCTAGTTTTAATATCCATATAAACTTGATTTAATAAAGTGTTTGTAAGCCGCTTTCGTGATGGTAATTCAAAAAAAGGACATGCATGTTTAAAAAGAATTTGAATTGGCTCTAATTCAGAAAATGATAATGATAAACCACAATAGAAAATAGCTTGAGTAAAAAGTAATTCTAATTCCTTTTGTTCATTTTGATGATTCGAAATATGGTCAATTATATTTTTAATAAAACTATTTTGTGTTGCTGAATTAGAATCGGATAAATTGTTTTCTTGAATTTTTGTTTCAATATATTGTATCAAAATGTTGTTAGGTACTGATTGGCAATTTTTTCCAAATGTAATTCACATCGTCCTGCATCTTTACTCATTTCATGATTGCAATAGTTACAATGTACTCGTTTCTTATTAAAGCCATTTACAATTCCCAGTTGTGTAAAATGATCCAAATTTTTTTTTCTTGTGGCATAATTATCAAAATAATTGACGATAAAAACAAATTATATTTTTTATAGAGATTTATTAACAATATATTAATAATGTTTACGTATGTAATACAAAAAAGTTTATTATATTAATAAACTATTAATATTAAAATTTTATTAACATTTTACTCCGCACGAGTCATATGATTAATTCGTGCGAATATGATGTCATTATCTCACACATAGGCACATCTCTATGTGTGCCGGTCGAAATCCCGACAAGCACAATCCCTACAGGTCATAATCCGACAAAAAAAATGTTTTGTCGATCATTGTGACGCAGTCAAAATTTTTAAAGCTCAAAATGTA